AAGGTTGGTCTGTATGTCCAAATGATCGTACTTTCCTCAAAGGACTCTGGCGAAATGACCCATCGGGGAACAACGGCCTTTGGCTTATCGAGGAAGGAAAATGCTGCGGAGCTAAGGAACCAAGTTATGCTAATCAACCGTCAACTTGCACAAACGCAAACTGGTGGGGCGCATTAGACGGGTGAGTCGTGCTGGTTGAATATCACAGGGCTTTCAAAACTCTGGCTTTCTAAACTTTTCTGATGGAAAGTAATGCTTCGATGAATTCGAAGCTTCAAAATCCCTCCGGGCAACCCCCCGGGGCATTTGAAATTGTGAGGATAGATTTTTTTAAATACCTGTCACTCGGGGCAAAAATTGTGCCCAAATGCCCCGCCTAATTTATTCGTAAGAGGCAAAATCAGTGACCGTGACCTTCTACACATGGATCAAACCTGAAAACGTAAACCATGTAGACCCACTTTTCTCCTGAGCGATTCACTCGCACAAGTGAACTATTTACCCTAAACACCTTGGCATATTTGAAGATATAACCCTTGTATTTCGCTGGAAAGATTTGACACTTTCTGATCAATTTCCTCACCCCCACGAGCACGGACAACGGTCAAATGTCCGTTGGTTGCCTGAGGGGGGGGAGGCATGTTGAAGATTCGAATTGTTCAGCGCATAATAGAATGTCCTCTCTTAGGTTTTGCCGTATTTAGCCTTTTAAAATAAACTAGTGAAGCTCTATCCAAAAATAATGCTCGAAGTATAACGGTCTACCAGGTTACAAAAACACGGATATCCTTTCCATAGCGTAGAGGTATTAAAGTAAGTTTGAGCACTATTTCAGTTGTTCTATAACCTACGTTTTTCCTTTTCACTTCTCTTTTTCAGAAAAAATGTTTGGGCTCTGTGTCCTGCTGGCTATTACATGGAGGGCATCTATATCAGTGATCCAACAAATATTTACAACATAGAAGAGTCCAAGTGCTGTCGTCCACAGAATTATCCGAACGCTTATGATGACTGTTACGATGAGGATGTTGGCATTTCGTTCGACAAGAAAGGTTGGAGCGAATGCAAACGGAATGGTTATTACATGACTGGAATCTATAAAGGCGGTTGTGAGCACGTTTACTGCATTGAAAAATTCAAATGCTGCAGCATGAAGAAAGGTATTGCGTTCTATGTGCTTCAAAATCTTTACAGTTATAGTAAAGAGGGAAGTTTAAGACTCTGAGTGATGCGTTAAGTTTATCAAAAGGGTACAAGATTTAACTAAAGAAAGATGTAAAATTGAAACTGTGAAAGGAAACAAACCATTGGAACTCTGATAGATAAAAGAACCCAGAATATTTCTG